AGCATATCATTGCATTAATTGCTTCTAAAATAAACCCACCTGGAAATAGCTTAGGCAAGATGGAAACAATATCGCAAGGATACAGGGAAAGCCAAGAAAGAGATGAGCCTAAGCAGAAGAAAAGGCAGAAATTCAACTACTGGTCAGGAAAACCTGGAACTTAGCATTCCAGTATAATAAGGATACTTCTGTCTTCTCTGCTTCCTCTGTTCATTGACTTTATTCTCTAATGCAGAATGAGTTTCTCCACTTGGCAAATGACTAAGGACTTCTCCCAGATTTTATATCTAAGTGAGGCTTGAGATAATCTCTCTTCCCAAGTCTAAACATCCTGGAGAAATGGGTTCATTGGCCCATCTTTAGTCAGATATCCACCTCTTGACCAATTAGGTGTGACCAATGGACAGCAGTAACACAGCTCTTCTTGCTACCACCATGATAGAAGTGTGGGCATGAGAGCAGTAGTTTCTACAGGAAAGGTGGGTGCTGGCCACATACTAATATACATTACAATTTTGTGTGATGAAAACACAGGTCAGTGGTCTGAATCAAATGAATGGTAAAGGATTACAGGATTTAACCTAATGTATAAAAATGGTTTAGCTATGAATAAAGATAATTTAATAGGGTTGTAATGTATATAACATTGACTATATGTCAAGAATAAGTGCTTTTTGTATGTTGAGTAATTTATTCCATACAACCTCATGAACTAGGAGTCATCATCCCTTCTTATAGATGGAAAAAACAGAGCTCAGAGAGGTTAAGTAACTTGCCCAAGGTCAGATTGTTACCAAGCACTATTTAATGTGCATAGAGGCCAATGGCCAATACCATGGCACTGGCTTTTGAGAAAAAAGATTTATTGCAAATCAACTGCAAGGAGACAGGAGGCTATGCTCTGTTGCTCAGGTTGGAGTGCAGTGGTGTGATTTTGGCTCACTGCAACCTCTGCTCCTGGGTTCAACTGGTTCTCCTGCCTGAGCCTCCCAAGTAGCTGGGATTACAGGCAGCCATCATCATGCCTGGCTAATTTTTGTATTTTTTAGTAGGTTTCACCATGTTGGCTAGGCTAGTCTTGAGCTCCTGGCCTCAAGTGATCCACCTGCCTCCGTCTCTCAAAGTGCTGGGATTATAGGTGTGAGCCACTGTGCCTGGCCTGGGCCAGATTTTATAAGCATAAAGTAATGAAATGTGATTGGATTGGATCCTGCAATGAGACGATGCTGGGAGGTATGATTTGATTGGATCCTGCCATGGGGTGATTAGATCTTGGATCCTGCCATGTGGTATTCCCTTCTTAATTCAGTCCCCACTCCTCAGTCAGAGCACTTAGGTTCCTGCTGTGGTTACAGACTTGGTTCCTCTAGGCATGTTCGGGTTAGGTGACCTTCAACCTGGGGGCACATGGTAACTGGAAAACAACTCACAACTTTGTTACATAAAAGTTGAACCAGATTGGTGTGATGTGGTTGCAAAATAGCTAGTAAGTCTGAGGGTAATATACTGGCTCAATACTTCTATATCCAGAGTTGGAAACTATGGTCAATTTTGATGAAGCAATTATTAGTTATTTCTCTATCTCTGTTTGCCGTACCAAAGCTATATGAACTTGATAAACCTTGTAATATCTTACAAGGTTTTAATCTCTTCATCTGTAAAAAGATTGGATTAAATCAAATTACTTTCTCCTTGTTAATACAGACAATACCTTATTTCTGAAGGCAAGAGTATGAGCTATGATATTTAAAAAATTTTAATGTATCCAATATATTTTAAAAAATAGAGACGGGGTCTTGCTATGGTTGCCCAGGCTGGTCTAGAACTCCTGGCCTCAAGTGATCCTCCCACCTCAGCTTCCCAAAGTGTTGAGATAACAGGCATGAACCATCATTTCTGGCTATATCCAATATTTTTTAGTGCTTCTTGAGACATATCTGTGTTAGGAACTGAGATGAAATTAAAGATATACAAGATAGAGTTTATGCTTACAGTGTTATGGGGGAACAAACAAACAAAATTATTGGTTTGTGGAATAGTCCAGGAAAGAGCAGTTTTCAGGAGTGGTATGACCACAGCTCAATCATATCTTCAAGGGTTTCCTACTCTCTGCCATCCCCAGTAGGCTGACTTCATTTTCAGGTTAGTTCCTCTTGCAAGATTGCTGCCAATGGCAATCTGGGTCACAGTCTGACTTGCTCAAATCGGGCAGGAGAGAACTCCTTCCCCTAGGTATGGACTGAAAATCCTTTCCTTCGATCTGATTGTGCTAGTTTACCCTGGTCCTAATATTTTTCAAGCATATTTTAGTCTAGCATAACCTAGATACTAGCTCATACTGCAGTGAAAAATACTCCCAAATCTCAGTGGCTTAAACTACAAAGGTGCATTTCTTATTCAAACCAGATGAAGATTGGAGGCAGGCTGTTTTTTTTGGAACTTAAGCTGAGAGAGGTTTTACTAATACTCAAGATAATACTGGTCTTGAGTCTGGGGAAGAGTAAACACTGTAAGGACTTATGCTGGCAATGAATTGTTCTACCTGGAATTGACACATACTACTTCTACCCACAACCCACTACAGATTGGTGGCTACAGCTAGTCAGTCACATGGTCCAGCCCAACTGCAAGGGGAGGAGGGTAGCTGGGGTGGGTGTAGAAAAATGTATTCCTTTTGTATGTCTGGAAGGAGAGAGTAAGCATGATAAATCTCCTACCGTATTAGGGAATCCATTTACTGGCTAATTGAGTTGCCCTTCTGTAGTTGGAATTTGGGTGGTTATCTAAAAAACTGGAAGATAAAAACAAAAATAAAGAGCCCTATTAATAAGGAAGGACAGGAATGAATGTTGAATAAGAAATCAGTAGTGTGAACTATAGGCCGCTTTATCCCAATGGAGAAGACAGAAATTTCAGCCGTGGAGGCAAGTCATAGGGAGGGATAGTCTGGCTAGTTTTATCAGTCTTTAAATCAATCACTTCATTTACTCTTCTAATGGGAAAGATTTACTCTGGCTTTTTAATGAGTAGGTATAGAGTTTCTGTTTAAGGAGTTGGCTCAAAAGTGACTTAGATTCTTAGTTTGCAGGAGGCTGAGCAGGGAGGATAGCTTGAGGCCAGGAGTTCAAGACCAGCCTTGACAACATAGGTGACCTTGTCTCTAAAAAAAGAAAAGAAAATATGGACTCTTTTTTTTTCCGTATTTCATTTTTGTAGTTATTGTCAATGGTATGTCAAGTTGGCTAGATTTATAGTTTTAGAACTGGTGAACAACTAAAACTTACCTAGTCCAACCCTTTTATTTTACAAATGAGAAAACTGAGGCCCAAATGGGTAAAATGATTATCTCAAGGTCACTCTTTCTTGCTCATGGCAGTAACAGTGCTGCCCTTTGGATGACTTCCTGGAAAATGGGATCCTATAAGTGAAAAGTAGCTAGAGCAACAATTATAAAACAACAAGAACAATTAACAATTATTCAGAATGCTTCCAAGACTGACAGTCAATTGGTACACATTGTAGAGATAGAAAAATTTCTAAACTATTTGGTAAGTAGCTTATGCTAAGCCTTCTGAGTACCTCAACCCCTTGCTGGAACTTCACAGATCTCCCTACTATAAAAATAGGATCCACCTCAAAGGTTTATTTGAGAATTAAATGGTGTAGGTAAAGAGTTTTGCATGGGGCCTGGTGCTCAGCAATATTACACTTTGGCTATTATTTTTATTACAGTCATAATAAAATGGTAGTAAATTTCAAACTAGTTTCTACATGAATGTTCACAACTTAGGAAATGTGATAGCATTCAAGTTCATTAACTTTGATCTAGCTAATCTCTCAATAAAATGGCCACTCATGTACTCACTTTAACTTTCATTTTGATCTTTTCCATTGTCTAAGGGTTGACTCTTGCCCCATACCCAAGTCCCCATAGCTCTGGCTGATGGTTAAGAATCTGACTGAGGCTATGTAAAAGAAAACAATGCATTGAAACAGTATAACAGATCATAAAGATTGTTAGCTATCATGACTGTTAACCAACCAGAAATAGTTATTTTCTTTCTTTTTTTAAATTTAATTTTTTATTTTAGAGATGGGGGTCTTGCTATGTTGCCCAGGCTGGAGTGCAGTGGCTATTCACAGGCACCATCATGTGGCACTGCAGGCTGGAACTCTTGGGCTCAAGTGATCCTTCCCGCTTCTTTCATCTTAGAAAAAAAAAAAAGGTTACACTGATTGTTAAAATATTTAAAAAATGCTGTGTTTAAACTAAAAAGTAAATATCTACCCCACCTTTTACTTCTAAAAATTATCTAGAGTATGACTGATAAGATTTGACCTCTGATCCTACATAGGCCTAAAATTTGTGTAAATTCCCAACAACCAAAGTGTGTCACTTTTATACCAGAATTTTGTTCTGCTTGTACACTTAGTACAGAAATCTCATGGGAGAGAGCATCCATGCGTTTACAAATTGTTATTCAATGACTGTATTGAGTAATGAATGACACACAAACTGAACTAGAACGTAATTCTGGCTCTGCCAGTATATCTTTTTTGTGATCTTGGATAAGTCACTCCACTTTCAATTTTCTTTGCTCACAGGGAGATAACAATCATAAAAACGACTGCAAAGTACAGCACGTTATGGAGTGCTTTTTGTTTAAAGAGCTGACAATAGATACGAGTCAAAAGGTCTAGCAAAGCCTCCCTCGGAACCTGAGCTGCTTGAGGACAAGGGATTTTCTTGTTTTAAATCAGCAGTACCTTATTTGTGTATGTGTAATAGAGTTTCTCGTACATAAGAATGTCTCAATAAATATGTGAATTTATGAATATTAGGCAGATTGCAGTCTTGACAGGCCACTGCCTCTTAAATCTCTTTTCTGTGATCTTTTACTATGTAACATCTAAAAGGCTGCCGCTACTTGCTTTGGGATAAGTATTCCCAGTATGTGCTTTAAAATGCCCAAGCCTAGAGAAATGATTCTTGTCTTCAGGGCACCGTTTCGCTTACAATCGTACTTCGCCCCAGGCTTTGGGATCTGGGTCCCAAAGATACAAGGGAAGAGTTTGGAACGGGAAGCTCATCTTTCGGCCCTCTGATTGGCCGGCTCGCACTCCACTCACGCGGCGCGCGACTCTGATTGGCCCTGGCGGCACCCCCCTCGGCCCGCAACTACTTTGTGTGCCGGGGCGGCGCGCTCAACTGGCGGTCTGGGCTGCTCTAAGGCAGCCCTTCGGCCCACTGCTCTGCATCGCGGGCGCCGGGAATGTTCCGAGTCCGAGCGGGTAGGACGCATCTTACAGCAAAGCCTCTCCCCTCACCTCGTGCTGTTCTCTTTACCATACTAAATAAACTTCCGCCTCAGAGGGCCTGTCGCAGCCGCGGGTCGGGAGAGGCCGGGCATCGAACTCAGGCCCTCGTGGGGGGGTCTTTCTCTTCGAGCGAATGTGGAAACACAGCTCTCACAAAATAAAGTAGGGCTTCGCTGAATCGCCTGGGGGGACAGATGTCATTGTAGGATCGCGCTGGAAGCTGTATTCGAGCGGCCAAACGCGGGCTGCAGGGGCTGAGCAGCAGCAGCGGCCACCCGGAAAAGTAGCAAGGAGCCAGCTTCAAAAGCCCTAGTGCGGGTGCCCCCTAGGGCCGCCGACTAAGCTGGCACAGGCCGGTCAGTCCCTGGCACTGTAGGGAGTACGGCATTCTCTGGAGGCGGCTCTCCGCCCGGGATCCTGGATCCGCTGGCACCCCCACTCAGCCTCCGGCCTTCAGGCGATAGAGGGCGGCCTACGCCTGTGTGCGAGCCGGCGCCCGCGTGCGCAGCCGCTGCCCTGCTGGAACCCTGCCGTCCCGCTGTGGCCCGCGACTCTGCTAGGCGGTGGATGCTGCAGCTACGCTCTACACGGGCGCAGCGAGGCAGAGGGCGGGGAGAAGCCCTGGCACATGCCAGGGTCGCCGTAGGTGGCAGCGGCCGGCGCATGCGCGCCCTCTCCCAGAAGCCAGGAACGCCGAGGGGCGCGCGCCCCCATTCGCGCGCGCACGCCGGCGCTGGCCGAGGCTTCCCCGCCTGCGCTCGTTGTCAGAGCTGCTCCGGCGCGTGCGCGCGTTATCTCCTGCCGACCCGAGGTGCCGGTTACCTCCGCTCCAGGCCCCCTCCCCACCCTGTCCCCTCTCCCGGCCCCAGACGACCCGTCCCTTCTTCTCCCCGCGGAATGGGGCCAGCGCTGCTCGGGGTCGCGCGCCCTGGACCCGGCTCGCGCTCGGTCTCGCGCTGTCAGCGACTGCCCGCCTCGCGCCGCCTCGCGCTCTGCCTCAGTCAGTGGCGCCGAAGGCTCCGTTAAGCGGCGGCGGCGGTTCCTGTTTCCGTTTCTTCCTCTCGGTTCAGTTGGGAGTAGCATCCTCCACCCAGCCACCCTTTCCACTCCGCCAGCGTGGGGCAGCTACGGCTGAGGGCTGTGGCTTTGGCGGCTGGGACCGGGGACCGCGGAGACCGCCTCTGCTCCCGCTTCGGGTAAGGGGGCGTTTTGGGAGCCGGGCCCCGCGCGTCTCGGGGTCTTGGGCTGGGTAGCGCGCGGGATCTGAGGAGGCTTGGCGGCTGTCCCTGCTCGTTTCCCCGGACGACCCCCGGGCCTGTTGCTGCAACTGCTGCCGGTTAACCAGTGGCTCTCGGAAAAGTGGGGAGGGAGCCACCGGGACACTCTGGCGGATGCCTTGGCGCAGACCCGGGGGCGCGGGCAGAGGGTGAGGGGCCCGGCTCTCCAGCCGGGACGAGGAGAGCGGCGCCGCGGCTGCCCTCGGCATCGCGCATCCTTGCCTAGGGCAGGGGCCGAAGCCTAGTGGGAGGAAAAGGGATGGCGGCGGGGGTGGGAGGTGTCCGTCGTCTCCCCTCCACACCTACCTTCCCTTTACCAGCAGCTCGGTCCCTGGAGTCGCGGTCTGTGGGGAGGAAGATGCCGGTGCGTTATGGGCTCTGTGAGTGCTGCTCTGGCTAGAAAGCAGGGAGTGGACCCGCACAAAGATCCGCGAGGGACCGATGAAGGGCAGTTAAAGGCTTGAGTGCAGCTGTATTCCCTTTTGGTGTGCAAATGACGAGCTGGTGGCTTTTGAGTGTCTGAACTTACTTGGGAAGGTTAAATGAGTCCCTATTTATTAGTTCTAGGAGGTTTGTCCTGCAGGAGCGAGTGGGTTGTCGGATGCAGCACCTGTTCTTTCTTCACAGTGGGGATTGCAACCTTCAGAGACGCAGTGTATTTCTTAAGTGGCAGTGTCATGTTTAGGGTTTGTCCCTGATAAGCTTTTAGCATTTTGCCGTATTGAGGACTTGGATAAAGACACGGAGAGGTAGTGGTTTTTTCCTATGTTTGAATTATTTACAGTTTATTTAAACCCACTCCAGAAGGTGGACCCAGAAAAGCCAAATTCTCCAGTAGATAACACCAAATTTCAAGGTTTTGCGGAACAAAGGCAACACAAGTTTTGTATCAGTTTAGAGATAAACGCATCTCAAGCAACTGACCTAACTTTGGCTTGGCTTTATGAAAACTATGGGCAGGTTTCATTATAGTTTTTTTTTTTCTTGTTATTCCTGGAGTTAGCTGCGTATTTATTTCTTGATTAATTTTACATTCCACGTCTAACAACTAATTCTTTAAAGAGGTACATAATGTAGAAAGTATTTTAGGTGAGAAATTATTATTTAAGCACTACAGTATATCAGATATGTAAAAAATAATGGAGTGAGTTGTAGTCTTCGCTCCTCAAAATAACTGTAAAAACATCCTAAAACCCTGTGCCAAATAGTAAGGCCCTATGCATTGCTATCGTTGTGAAATCTGCTATGTGTGTATAAAATGTTAATTACTTGATTTGTAAATACTACAGTAGTAGTGAGAAGGTGGGAATTTAAGCGATTGTAATTGTCATTTTACAGGTTTAGTGTTTAAAAAATGCAGGGAGTTAGAGATGAATAAGACACATACAAGGGTAGTTCCAAGACAGATTTTCTTTTTGCTGCTTTATAAATTCTATTTGAATTCCAGAGATGAACAGCTGGAATGAAACTTGCATGGATTGCAGAAATAGATGCAAAAACGTATCTTTGGTCAAATTGTGAGTTAACTTGAAGGGTACTTGTGTAATAGGATATTCAAAATAATTTCCATAAGATATGGCATTATATAGGTTTTATTTTGAGGTTATTTTGAATTTAAAAAGTCACCTGAAGTTGTTTTCCTAAAAATCAGTTTTATTTAAGATGTATAGAATTGAAAAAAAACAGTAATTCTGATTACATTCTAAATTGTTTTGTTGCAAATTCCTATGAGTTATTTTTATGAAATTGGAGTGTCCTTAAAATTGGTGAATCTTAAAATTTGCTAGTGGATTGGAAAAATTTGTTACTTATTACTTTTTTAAATGCAGTTATATTAGTACATTGGTCTGGAGGGGGAGCTAGTGCCAAAGCAAAGTATAGCTTGATAGCTGTTTGAACTTTTAAAACACCTAAAACCAGATTTTTATGAGTAGGAGAAACATAAATTTTTAATTTTTTCCTTTTTTCCTTTTTTCCTTAATCCTTTTAGGATAAGGAAATTGATGTGGGCTATATATGTACATAGTTATTTGTGGAGTGAATATATTGTGTATTACAAAATTAGTTTAAACAATCTTTTCATGAGCTGCAATAATGGAAAGCTAAATGCTTAAAGATTTATTGGATTTCTCATTAAAAATCTCTAAAATGTATCCCCAAACTTCTTAACCTTCTTGTGCTCTTCATCACAAGAGAAGGCATGTATTCTTAACCTGTTGTGTATGTTGTGTGTTCTTAAATTTTGTTTTTATAGTGGCTATAATCCTAAAATTTCAAAAACAAAGCCTCAAGTAGAATCTTATATGGACAAAGGTATTAATTGTGTGGTAAGCTAGGTGTTTATCAAAAGTAGATCTAATTTTTTTTTTAAAGTAGAGATAATTCCAATAAAAAAATGGACCCTTTAGCCATCTGGAGAACAGTATCCCAAGGTCACTTAACCCTTATCTCCTGCAATATAATGCAGTGAGTACCAGCTGATCTACCAAATTGAACTTGTGCCTTTGAATATGAAGCAGTTGTTTTGTGGCCTATGGCATTTCATTTAGGTTTCTGAACTGTGATAAATTAGGTATGTTAATTTACTTCTGACCATTTACATACTCTGTAAATCCAAGCCTAGAAATTGATAATTATATGTATATTAAAATCATTGGAATATTGAGTTTTCTGCGAATAGTATTTGGGCTGTTTGTTACCCATAGCTCTTCATTATGTAAATAGAATCTCAATGCTGATAAAGTAAATAGATTCTTCATTTTATTAATGGTTATTTTTGATTTATGATAAACTGCATTTAATAAATTTCTTGATTTGGTTAAATGGCGGATACATCCGTTTCAAATTATAGCACATTGATAAATGTAAAAGAAAGTTTTACAATCATAAGACTTGAATTTAAAAAGACTTGAATAAGTTACTTTATTAAACATATAACTAAGATTTTAAACAACTCTGAAACAAAAAGTATTACTATTATGGTTTTTTTTTTTTTTTTCCCAAAAGAAATGAGATCTTGGGATCTTGCTGTTTTGTCTAGGTTGCCCTTCAACTCCTGGGCTCAAGTGATCCTCCTTCCTCAGCCTCTTGAGTCACTGGGACTATAGGCATGTGCTACCACATCCAGCTTTGTTATAGTAGTTTTGTATCTTGCATCAATACTGCTTCTGTTGATCCATTTCAAAGGAGATAATAGCTTCCGGTCTTCAACAGTAGTGTAGCATCCTCTTATTGATTCTCTGGCTTATATTTCACTATCATATAGTATAGAATTTCTTTGTTGGAGTTTGAATTGTTTTTACACTGTAGCTTGTTATAATGAGACAAAGATATTAAAAGTAAAAGATGTTTACAACTGATTTTTAAAGAACCTTAAAAAAAATTCCCAACAGAAGAATATTATATGGGCATGTGTGTAGATTTAAGATTTTATTTTCTTTGAGATTGGGGTGGGGAGTTGTCTCACTGTGTTGCCTAGGCTAGAGTGCAGTGGGATGATCATGGCTGACTGCAGCCATGACCTCCCTGGTTAAAGCCATTCTCCTGCCTTAGCGTCTGGGGTAGCTGGGAATACGGGTGCATGCCACCATGCCTGGCTAATTATTTCTAATTATTTTTTATTATTTGTAGAGATAAGACCTTGCTATGTTGCCCAGGCTTGTCTTGAACTCCTGGGCTCAAGTGATCCTCACTCCTTGGCCTCCCAAAATGCTGGGATTACAGACATGAGTCACTATACCTGGTTCTTTTATTTTATTAAAAAGATTTTTAATTTTTATTTTTTAAGTTTAAAAGAAACAGGGTCTCGCCATGTTGTCCAGTCTGGTCTTAACTCCTGGCCTCAAGTGATTATCCCAGCTTGGCCTCCTGCAGGTGTGAGCCACCATGCTTGGTAGTAAGATTTTTAAAAATTGATTAGTTTCAAGTCTCAGCTTTTCTTTCAACATTCTAATCTCCTGCCATTATTTCCTTTCCCCAGCCACCCTCCATCATCCAACAGTCTTCCATTTGGAAAAATGGGAAATCAAACCAATAAAGTTAACCTTACCACGCACTAGGCAAAGGTTTTTCTTAATCTCTGCAATATTCTGAACATAAAACCCACGTAAACTTTATATGAGACTGCACATTTTCCTTTTAATGGAAGAAGAGCAAATAGGACCTTTGGGATTATGCCATATTTGTCAATGTAAGGGTTACTTTTGCGCTCTTTACTGAAAGCAGAGTTATAGGCTTAATTTCATTTAAATTTTCTTAATCATCTTCTTTTAAAAAAAATCTCTTTGTAGTGTCATGAAGTTTATTTGTTAGAAAAACTAATTCTAACTACCTTTATGTGCCTCATTGCTACATGATATAAACTCGTTACTCTAAATCTGAGATTTAGAGTATATCTCATTACTCAGATATAAACTCATTACTCATTATTCAGGTTTTTTTTGGTCAGAAAATGACAAAGTGAAGGAGAAATATGTTTTGGCTTTATAAATCTTCTTTTAATTAACAAATTATACCAATATAAATGGTGCTAATGTGGTTCAAATTTGCCATTGCTATTCTGTCTTCTTTATTGGTTTTATAGTATAACTTCATTGAAGCACTGGAATAAAAGAAAAACTTTAAAGATCACTACTGAAATGCTCACTGTATTTGTTGTATTTTAAAGCTTGTATTTTATAAATTTATTTTTCCATAAACTGAATAAATATGCAAACGAACTTGAAAGATCTTGTCACAGCCTTGATGATTGGTCAGTATAAATAAAGTTCATATTATAAAATAAAAAACTGGCTGGGCTCAGTGGCTCATGCCTGTAATCCCAGGACTTTGGGAGGCTGAGGCAAGAGGATCACAAGGTCAGGAGATTGAGACCATCCTGACCAACATGATGAAACCCTGTCTCTACTAAAATAGAAAAT